TTCTTCTAAAATGGTTATTTTATCAAGCTCCTATGTTTATGTTCAGTTATTTTACAAACCCAATTCCATAAAAGTTGGGACACTGTACAAATTGTTAGTAAAAAAGGAATGGAATAATTTACAAATCTCATAAACTTATATTTTATTCACAATAGAATATAGATAACATATCAAATGTTGAAAGTGAGACATTTTGAAATGTCATGCCAAATATTCGCTCATTTTGGATTTCATGACCGCTACACATTCCAAAAAAGTTGGGACAGGTAGCAATAAGAGGCCGGAAAAGTTAAATGTACATATAAGGAACAGCTGGAGGACCAATTTGCAACTTATTAGGTCAATTGGCAACATGATTGGGTATAAAAAGAGCCTCTCAGAGTGGCAGTGTCTCTCAGAAGTCAAGATGGGCAGAGGATCACCAATTCCCCCAATGCTGCGGCGAAAAATAGTGGAGCAATATCAGAAAGGAGTTTCTCAGAGAAAAATTGCAAAGAGTTTGAAGTTATCATCATCTACAGTGCATAATATCATCCAAAGATTCAGAGAATCTGGAACAATCTCTGTGCGTAAGGGTCAAGGCCGGAAAACCATACTGGATGCCCGTGATCTTCGGGCCCTTAGACGGCACTGCATCACATACAGGAATGCTACTGTAATGGAAATCACAACATGGGCTCAGGAATACTTCCAGAAAACATTGTCGGTGAACACAATCCACCGTGCCATTCGCCGTTGCCGGCTAAAACTCTATAGGTCAAAAAAGAAGCCATATCTAAACATGATCCAGAAGCGCAGGTGTTTTCTCTGGGCCAAGGCTCATTTAAAATGGACTGTGGCAAAGTGGAAAACTGTTCTGTGGTCAGACGAATCAAAATTTGAAGTTCTTTTTGGAAAACTGGGACGCCATGTCATCCGGACTAAAGAGGACAAGGACAACCCAAGTTGTTATCAGCGCTCAGTTCAGAAGCCTGCATCTCTGATGGTATGGGGTTGCATGAGTGCGTGTGGCATGGGCAGCTTACACATCTGGAAAGGCACCATCAATGCTGAAAGGTATATCCAAGTTCTAGAACAACATATGCTCCCATCCAGACGTCGTCTCTTTCAGGGAAGACCTTGCATTTTCCAACATGACAATGCCAGACCACATACTGCATCAATTACAACATCATGGCTGCGTAGAAGGATCCGGGTACTGAAATGGTCAGCCTGCAGTCCAGATCTTTCACCCATAGAAAACATTTGGCGCATCATAAAGAGGAAGATGCGACAAAGAAGACCTAAGACAGTTGAGCAACTAGAAGCCTGTATTAGACAAGAACGGGACCACATTCCTATTCCTAAACTTGAGCAACTTGTCTCCTCAGTCCCCAGACGTTTGCAGACTGTTATAAAAAGAAGAGGGGATGCCACACAGTGGTAAACATGGCCTTGTCCCAACTTTTTTGAGATGTGTTGATGCCATGAAATTTAAAATCAACTTATTTTTCCCTTAAAATTATAAATTTTCTCAGTTTAAACATTTGATATGTCATCTATGTTGTATTCTGAATAAAATATTGAAATTTGAAACTTCCACATCATTGCATTCTGTTTTTATTCACAATTTGTACAGTGTCCCAACTTTTTTGGAATCGGGTTTGTAGTGTCTAAAATATTTGGGTCAATAAAACTCAGGTCAAAAACTTGGGTCAAAAATGTTCTCATGATTTGCACATCAAATTAGATTTTTTATTGTTTTTGGGCAGTTTTTAAAAGCTTGCAAAATTTGCAAGATTTTTTTCGAAAGAACTTAATATTTTTATTCTGCAAGGGTGCATTAAATTGATCAAGAGTGACAGTAAAGACATTTAGAATGTTAGAAAATAATCCTATTTCAAATAAATGCTGCTCTTTTCAACTTTCTATTCATCAAAGAACCCTGAAAACAAATGCATCACGCTTTCCACAAAAAATATGAAGCAGCACAACTGTTTTCAACAATGATAATAATAAGAAATGTTTCTTAGATATTACAACAATTTCTGACGGATCACGTGACGCTGAAAATTCAGCTTTGCGTCACAGGAATTAATTACATTTTAAAACATATTCAAATAGAAAACTGTTACTGTAATAATATTTCTCAATATTACTGTACTGATTAAAACAGTTGCTGTTTGATCTTTAGGTTGGATACGGTCAGCTTCCTTTCGATCTAACTGATAGTTTTCCGAGTTATCCTGACATCTGCTTCCGGGTGGAGGGCTATGACTTCCTGTGTCATAAGGTCAGTATTTAACACTGATCATCATAATCCCCGAGTGTTGTAGGTGGGATGACATTAGTGGCATCCCAAATGCAAATGAAGACATCAATCTAATGTCTGTCTCTTTGGCTATATTTTTAATTACTTTGAATCAATTATTAGAATGACAGTTGTGCTTAATCATACATTTGTGGCTTGATTAAAAAGGGTATTTGTGTTTGTGCGCAGGCGTTTTTCTGTGGTCGCAGTGATTATTTTAAGGCGCTGTTGGAGGATCATTTCAGCGAGGGTGAAACTCTGCAGGCTCATCCCAGTATTCCTGTCATCACCCTTCATGATGTGTCTCACGATTTGTTTTCAAGAATCCTTTACTACATCTACAGTGATAACACTCAGGTACACACAAACAAGCTTACATGTGCAATAAACACTACATTCAAGCTCTATTATTTTTAGGCAGCAGCGATATATGCTATTTACACTAAGTGAAAATAGAAATGGATTCTATTCACACTAAGTGAAAATAGCTGTATTTTATTGGCGATATGCTATTTACACTAAGTGCAAATAATGACCGATTCTATTTACACTATGTAAAAATAGCATAATTTTCTTAGCAATAAGTAAAAAAATAGATGCTTTTTATACTTAGTGCAAAAATGGCATATATTTCCACCTCAGTATTGTAGTACATTATAAAACATTATGCAGTAATAACATATTGAGAGTAAATTATCATATTTCTTGACATTATTAAATGGATGCTGCCTTATATTGGGACAATAAAGCCATCCCTACCCCTAAACCTACCCGATAAACACTTTTTAATAATAAAATGTTTATCGGGTAGGTTTAGGGGTAGATGTTGGGAATACCCATGAGGCACTTTATTTCCATTTTTGTAATATTTCCTTCATTTATATTGAAAATAAATGTCTTTCTGATCTGATATGTGATGGGAAAGAGAGAAGAATAAATTCGACAAAAGGCGGATTCGAACTCCGGTCGATCGTGTCAAAAGACACTGCCATGCACTTTACGCCCCACACCACTGAGTCAGTTGAATGACGCGAGTCTTTTGTTATGTCTATGCCAACCAGACACTGGTGGGCGGAGCTAGTGTAAATAGCTTCAGCCAACACGATGGGCTATTTACACTTAGTGTAAATAGACACTCAGTCATTTTTATCATGTTGAACAGCTTCATAAGTGCACCGATCCGTCAGATGTGCTAATGAAGCCTCTGTGATTGTCTTCCAGCTCTCTCATGAGAATGTGTATGAGGTCCTGTGCGTGGCCGACATGTACCTGTTGCCGGGTCTCAAGCGTCTGTGTGGCAGGACTCTGGCTGTGCTGCTCAATGAGGAGAACGTCCTGCACATGTGGAAGACAGCCAAACTGTTCCGGCTCTCACGTCTGGAGGACCAGTGCACTGAATACATGGCCAAGATCATAGAGCGGGTATATCACAATTCTGCAGCTGTGCTTTCATTCATGTTTATGCTGCTGATAATCAAAATTCATCTTATTTACATTCATAATTAATGTCCCACTCACCCATTTTAATTTTAATATTATTATACAAATATGTTTATTTTTAATAAAGTAAGTTATCTAATATAAAAATAATATTTTATATAAATTTAAATAAAATAATATTTTTAATACATATAAATGTAAATCTAAAATATTTGTAAAAATAAATATAATACAAAATATTTTTGTAAAACATTACAAAAAAATTACATATATATTTATATATTATATTATTTATTATTATTATTTACATATTATATTTCTGTAATATATAATATAAAAATATCTAATTTAATTATATAAATATATTATTATGTTTATATAATAATATATAAATATATTATTATATTTTTATAATTTAATATTATATAAAAATAAATATTTAATTGTATATAAATATAAATGTATATTTATTTAGTATAAATGTATTAAAATCGTTTTTAATATGAATAGAAATGATTTAATGCAAAAATATATATTTTATATATATATATATATATATATATACAGTGGGGAAAAAAAGTATTTAGTCAGCCCCCAATTGTGCTTTAATTGTATATAAATATAAATGTATATTTATTTAGTATAAATGTATTAAAATCGTTTTTAATATGAATAGAAATGATTTAATGCAAAAATATATATTTTATATATATATATATATATATATAAATTGTTCTTAAAAAACAACAAACAAACTAACTGAAGCCCTTCCCTATTTCCTGCTGACTGTTCAGTTTCACTGAAAAATATGTCACATAACGAATGCCATATTAACTTTAACATGAATTAAAGAATGAATGAAGTCGTGTTTGTTTCAGCTGGTGGAAAGGCCAGAGTTTGCTGATATGATCAGAGAGGATGCTGGGAATGTGGCAGCCAGGCAGGAAACTGATTCCATCCCTCTGGTAGACGAGATCCGTTTCCATATTGCCAGTAACGTTCAGACGTACAGCGCCATCGAGGAGGCCAACCAGAAACTCAGCGCCCTGGAGCTCCTGCTGGCCAGCATCGGGCTGGAGTGCTGAAAAAACAAAAGAAACTTGAGCTCGGGAGAGAGCGGGACGCTGACAGATTGATCAGATGCTTATGAAATGCTTTACATGCACAATTAATCCGTAGCAAACTAGCACCACATTAGCAGTAACAAACTAATATGGTCGATTCTAACCAAAAACATGCATATATAGAGTCAAGATGTGCCTGTTGTGATTCAGTGAAGCTTCCTGTCTTTAGCTGTTTCAGTTGCTTTTTTTATGAACAAAAAGAGAGACGAAAGCTTGACATTTTGATTATTTCTCTGGTAGTGAGCCTTATTTGTCAGAACAAGTTGATGTTAGTGTTCTTCGTGATACACTGCTCAACCTTCCACATGCATCATGACAGATGTAGCAGAATATTTATCAAGCTTTATAGGAAACTTTAAGTTGTGAAGTGTTGCGAACACAGAGTCAAAACAATACGGTTTAGCTGTTACATCCCTGAATATGATTCGAGTCGATGATTAATATAGGATGAGGCGATTAATCTGGGAAAGAACGATTTATTCACATGCATGGAAGAAAAGGTGTGCATTGAATAATAGTCTTTTTGAGGAGTTCAAATTTGAGGCGTTTTCATGATAGGACCGACAATTATACAGTCGTCCATTTTTGATCCAAGCATGAATTACAAAAGGATTTCGCTTGCGTTCTCTCTCTCTGGTGTTTGCGATAGTTCACCATTTGTTCAAGCAAGTGGACGATTATTTATGCCTCTAAATGTGCGTTCCGTTCACTCATGAATGTATCTTCCAGCACTGATATAGAAGTTTTCCAGCTTTGCATCCGCAGACTTCTGCTAATGCGCATGCAATATTTGCATAGAATTACTCGATATAATCAGGAAATGTGCTCCTAAAACTGACTGCACTTAATCTTTCTCCACCTATACATTTTTACTTCTGCTTTTGTTTTTCCTGCAGTGCTTTGATTTTATTTATTGTATTTTATGCTGGTCTTAAAGCATATCCTGCACTTATTTGCTCAGCAGCACTTGATGAGTTTGTGTATGTTTATGAATTGGGTGGTCAGGAGAAAATCTGAAATGAGATTTGTGTATGAACTTTCATGAGTGTCCAAGTCATAAAATATCTGATGCGTCGGCATTGCAGTTTCCTTTCCTATGATTTATTGTGGGATACTCTGACTGAATGGGATGTATATAAGTGAGCAAAAATAAATATTATTTAATGTACGTATTACTTGTGGGTCTGTTCGATTTACATTTGAAGAAGTCTGAGAACACTGGAAAAGCCATTCTGTTCTGCTTTACTTAAAATTTAATATAAATGTCTACTAGAATTAGACATTTCGGAGTATGTTATTTATTTATTTTTTGTTTTAATGACCGCAAAACTCCAGCCAAATTTGTTTACATTTGGACATACAGACAGTTTTTAATTAAAACAAATGTATTATTACAAATTGTATTTGAATATTTAGAGTAAAAATAGAGTATATTAGTATGTTTTTATTTTGCTTTAATTACAGCAACACAAATTTGTTTATATTTTGACCTAGAAATATGATTTTCAATTTAAAACAAATTAATTATTACAAATTTTATTAGCAGTATATTTTGAGCAAAATGTTTAAAATATGAGTAAAAGAAAATTCATCTTCAGAGTATATTAGTGTTTTTTTTCTCTTTTGCTTTAATGACAGCAACACTCGGGCCCAATTTGTTTTTGGACCTAGAAATATATATTTTTTATTTAATATTTATTTCTATAAATGTTATTAAGTATATTTTGAGTGGAAAGTTGAATCCATATTTGTTTACATTTGGACCTAAATATAGTTTTTAATTTATAACCAGTTTATTATTATAAAATATATTGTCAGCATATTTTGAGTGAAAAGTTGAAAATTTATTGACTAAAAAAAAAAATTCAGAGTAAATGTTTTTCTTTTTGCTTTAATGACCGCAACACTCGAGCCAAATTTGTTTATGGACCTAGAAATATATATATTTTTTTATTTATTATTTATTACTATAAATGTTATTAGCAGTATATTTTGAGTGAAAAGTTGAAAATATTAAAAAGAATGAAAAGTACGTTTTTTTTTCTTGACAGCAACACTCAAGCCAAATTTGTTTATGGACCTAGAAATATATATATTTTTTTATTTATTATTTATTACTATAAATGATATTAGCAGTATATTTTGAGTGAAAAGTTGAAAATATTAAAAAGAATGAAAAAAAAGTACGTTTTTTTTTTCTTTACCGCAACACTCAAGCCAAATTTGTTTACATTTTGACCTAACAATAGTTTTTAATACATATTCATTATTACAAATGTTATTATCAGTATATTTTGAGAGAAAAGTAATAACAACTTTCCTAGAATATTAGTAGGCTATGTTTTTTTTTTTTGCTTTTGCTTTAATGACAGCAACATTTGTTTACATTTGGACATATAATAGTTTTTAATTTAATACAAATGCATTATTACAAATTGTATTGTCAGCATATTTTGAGTAAAAACAATTAACAAATGTTAGTAGTTTTTTTCCCTGACAGCAACACTCCCAAATTGGTTTACATTTCGACCTAGAAAGTGTATTTTATAATTCTTCATTTTGTGTCATTTTATTATTATTTATTTATTTATTTATTTTTCTCAAAATCCTCAAAATGTCTTTATTTCCAAGTTTCTATTCATTTACAGTGCAAATATTCAGTGTGGTTTGGAAATATATGCCCTAGCTTTGATTTATATGTAGACCTGCAGGAGGCGCTCTGTATCAGTCAAACTCAAAACCTCACAATGGCACTGAAGGACAAAGCTACATGATTACTTGGATCTTTTCCACATTTATCGGGTTTTCGTCTCACATTTATGTTATAAATCATCATATCAACTAATAAATGTCTGAACGTCCCAAAAGTTAGTTCATATCTGCGTGTGGCAGAATTTCCAGCGTAGTCAACCCATGGAGATCAAAAACATATTTAAAGGGGTCATAGGATGCTACATGCACTTTTACAAGTTGTTCGAACTGAAATGTGTGTTGGCAGTGTGTGTACACAACCACTCTATAATTATAAAAATCCACCCAGTGTTTTTTTTTAATCTCGTTAAATGTTTTCCCCTTTCTCAAATCGAGCTGATCTCAGATGCCTGTCTGTGTGACGTCACACAGACAGGCCCCTCCCACAATAGTTTGATTGACAGTAGCGTTTCAGCACAGACTGGACTGGTGTCTTACCTTAGCTCCGCCCTGAGTGACTGTCATCAGTCCGCCATTGTTTCACCGCCGGAGCAGATGTAGACAAGAATGACTCCTAACAAGCAATTGAGGTGTTCTGTTGTTGGCTGTAATAATGAACATAGCAGTCGTCATTTACTCCCGACATCTGAGCCGCTGAAGACGCAGTGGATTACGTTTGTTTCTGAAGGGAATGCATCTATGTTCACGCGAGCGAATCATTTGTGATCCAGTCTCATCTACAGAAGAAGTGAGTATAATGTTTTGTAATGAATCTTTGCAAATCGCCTTTCCTAATAATGTGCTAATTAGCAAGTTTCACGATGAATGCAGCTAAAGTAAACAGTCTCTCTGAGAGCAGCTCTGAAGAGAGGGGCGGGGTCAGCAGAGCTCATTAACATTTAAAGGAAAATGCTACAAAAACGGCTTGATCTGAAAAGAGCTGTTTTTGACAGGGTAAAAAATGTTTTTTTACACTACCATTGAGAAATTTTAACCAAACTATGTTACAGACTTTTCATTAAGACCCTAAAGAATCATATCAACTTGTGGAAAATGGGCATACTATGACCCCTTTAACGCATTTGTTTTAATGCGTTTAATACTGCAGGGAATAGCCGACATGTGAAGCATCGGTATCGATCTTCTCCCAAAATGTTTGGGAGAACGAACATAGAAATGTATTAAAGGAGCAATGTCCCTTCATGGTTAGAATAGCTTAGAAACCTCTGGAAACTAATTTACTAAATAATTGCTGGAGTTTCGTAACTTGTCAAAGAACGGCGCAAGGCTTCAGTCTGGGTTTTCATGTTTCTCCAGGCAACAGGAGGCAGAATTACCATGACAACCGAGTCAAGAGAGGGATGAAGGCCTGTCAGAGCAGCATCGCGTTTCTCTGACATCTATCCTGAGAGCCGTGTGTGTTTGTGATCCCTGAGTCACTGGCACGCCGTCAATCTGTATTAAGCAGCTGTGAAGATACTAGATCAGCAGTGATCTCAGCGCTCGGTTCAAACCTACACCCACAGATCTCAGATCAGAACCACTACAACAACCCACTTCACAGCACTCGCTGAGTTCCGGCCAGATCTGCTGATGTAATTTGATGCAAGTTTTGTTCAAGAGGACTAATAAACCTCCGAAAGCATATTTAGATGATGAAGACAGGGTAATATGTGCTATTACTCAGGCATCATCAGATGTTGAATATTTAATATTTTTATAATATTATTAGACAATATTTTACGTATAAATTAAAAATTTAATATAAAGATAATTTTACATGTTTAATTTAGATTAATATATTATATAAATGTATAAAATATAATGATATTATATAATATGAACATTTTTAAATACACACATTTATTTATTTATTTATTCAAATATTTTTGGGGGTCATTATAGATTCATATAAGCGTCATTCATATATAGATTCATAATTTTGGGGTTTATTTAAAGGGGTCATAGGATGCCCATTTTCCACAAGTTGATATGATTCTTTAGGGTCTTAATGAAAGTCTGTAACATAGTTTGGTTAAAATGTTCAATGGTAGTGTAAAAAACACCTAAAAATGTTTTACCCTGTCAAAAACAGCTCTTTTCAGATCAAGCGGTTTTTGTAGCATTTCCCTTTAAATGTTAATGAGCTCTGCTGACCCCGCCCCTCTCTTCCGAGCTGCTCTCAGAGAGACGGTTTACTTTAGCTGCATTCATCGTGAAACTTGCTAATTAGCACGTTATTAGGAAATGTGATTTGCAAAGATTCATTGCAAAACATACTCACTTCTTCTGTAGATGAGGCTGGATCACGAATGATTCGCTCGCGTGAACATAGATGCATTCCCTTCAGAAACAAACGTAATCCACTGCGTCTTCAGCGGCTCAGATGTCGGGAGTAAATGACGACTGCTATGTTCATTATTACATCCAACAACAGAACACCTCAATCGCTTGTTAGGAGTCATTCTTGTCTACATCTGCTCCGGCGGTGAAACAATGGCGGACTGATGACAG